GCGTCTTGCCACTGCCAGTGGGGGCAGTGAGACAAAAATCCATGGGAATCCCGCTCAGCAATGCACGCTGGACTGCCGGAACCACCGCCTGCTGCACTGGCAACGGCTTCTCGTAGTACAACTGCTGCTGCAGAGGTTTGAGCAGCCATGAGTCGCTCTCCCCAAGGCACTCATCCCACGCAACCGTCATTGCTAAAGAAACTCGAGTTCTAACACACGCACACACTGTTGTGTGTAGACAACAAACAACCAGAGAAACCCCAACAAAAACTAACTAAGCAAAGAGAAGGCGCGGCGACGGGGACAAGACTACTTGATTTCCTTTCCGACGTCCACCCCTCTCCTCCTCTCTCGTTCGCTCGCAGTGCGGTCCCTCCTTGCGTTGGATTGTCGACACTATTTCCCTGCTCGCCCTGCTACCTGCAAACACACCAACTAATGGTGCAAGCGCGGCACAATGCACATCACAAAATAAAAGCAACAAGAAAGATATAATAATAATAATAATAATGTGGAGTAAAACAAGAAAGAGATTCCCACCCACCCACTCAGACTCAGAGGCAAGAAAAGGCAAGGAAAAAAGTTATGTGAATAAATGTGTGGTGCCAAACACTCTTCTCTCCATTCTGATCTCCTCCTCCTCCCCATCTTCTCGTTTTTTTATTTTGTTTTTGATGTTTGCTATTGTCGTTCCTTCTCGCCGCGCTAGACGACTACGAGCCGTGGGCGAAGTGGTACTCATTGGCCACCTTTTCAAAAACGAAAAGCTTCTTCTTCGCCGCAGACCGCAGCAGATTTTGTCGGCACTCCCCATCCGCTCCAACTGGTCGCTTCACGGCCAGAAAGTGCAACTGCTGCTGCGACAGACGCACTGCTTGTGCCACGTCACTGTTCCCGCTAAGTTTTGTATACAGCGGGCTGCTAAAAAAGTCCCGCATGAGCGCGCGTTCTGTGATGACTTTCTCCGTGGCCGCCTCGTGCACGGTCAGCAGGGCGGCCACTTTACTCCGCGCCACAGTTGCTTTTTTCGTCAGTAGAAGGCCGTCAAACATGACTGCGGTGATGGGCAACTTGCGTGAAAACACGGGCACTTCGCGTTCTGCTGGTGGAATGTGTTCCGCAAAAAATTCACAGACGGCCTGCCGCTCTGCACAACCGTTTGAGAGACGATGCGTCAGTCCCTGCGGATCCCTGCGGTCCTCTATAGTAAAGGGAGAGTTCACACTCGCACAAATCCCTTGCATAGCTGCAAACGCCTCGACATCGGTGCAAAGCAGTGGAAGGAGCTTGTAGTGAAAGTGCGGTTGATGAATCGCCTTGAGCTGTTCAAAATCCGACACAATGACGTCGCGTGGCAGCTGTGACGAAGAGGAGGAGGTGGCTGACATGTGCGTCATAAGCACAATGCGCCGCATCTTGTAGCCACTAAAGACTTCATCAAAGATGTTTTCCCGGGTGACGTCCCCAGAGACCTGATGGATGAACAGCGGAATCATGTGCTTGTGTCGCTTCTTGATGAGCGAGGCGTACACGTCGCGCTGCATTGCTGCACCCCTCACCAAACGCTGCCACCACCACCACCACCACCACCCACCTCACCAGCCCTTGCGTACAAGGCAACGAAAGAGAAAATAACACATCACACACACATGCGTGCATGCATTACACATTACACAAGCGCTTTTCACAGCCAAAAAGAAAGAAGGAAAATAACAATCCAAAAGATGGGAGGTGCCCGTAAACACCTCTTACACCGTCCTCTTTGTCGCCTTCTTTCTCCCCATCCAACATACACGGGAAACCACACATGTCTGCCGTAGAGCCAAAGCACAACGAAGGAGATGCATGTACAGTGTGTGTGTGTGTATGTGTGTCTGCAGGCAGAAACGGCACAAAGTTGGACGCCAAGGCATGAAGCGAACAACAATGTAAATATGTATGCAAGTATGCATGCGTGATAACCCACAACCACGGGGACGCGCCACCATCCCCATCATTCTCTGTGGAAACAGCCAAAAATGACCTCCCCCCCCCACCACTCACTCAAAAAGAAAAAAAGAAGTAAACTCCAACAACGACGCGGAAAACAACAATAACAACAACCAACATAAAATCGTGCCACATCGTCACATTTTAATAATAATAATAAATCGCCAACAGAAACATCTACGCCTCATCCATCCATCCACCCAGATATAATATCTGTCGTGCGCTTCTTTTGGATTTTTCTACTTCCTTTCCTCCAAATCTCACCTTCTCTTTAATTTAGCTACTCTTTCTTTCTATCTCTCTATGCAGGGGCACCCAGCTACGCGGAGATACGCATTGAAGGATTTGTGGCACGTTGATGTACCTCATTCGCAAACACACAAAATGAAAGGAAGACACGCTTGCGCTCGATGTGTACGCGCCAGGAGCCATCACCATTCCTGCCGTCACTGCCTTTACTCCATCGTCGCGGGCGGCAGAAACAACAGGCAGGAAATGAAAGCAATGAAAGGAAGAAGATCGATAAAGCACGGAAGTACGTGGCCCTCGCTTCTATCTCCCTAACTTCTCCCTGACATTCAACTTTCCCCACTATATGAAGCGTAATAGCAACAATAACTATCCCCACAAGGCACAGGCAGCGCGCAAGCAGCTCAACGTTTCGTGTTCCCACTCCATTACTTGGAAACATTATCATAACCGCGCATAGATGGCAAAAGGCTACGGCGCATCCCACCACTACGAAAGATGTGTTGATGCAGCAGCGCCACATTGATGGCCCGTGGTCGGTTCGTAAATAATTTCTGCCGCTTCTTCGCCAGGTGCCTTTTATACGTTGCTTGTTGATCTTCCCTAAGATCCTGCCATGACTTGGCCCTATTTTCAATTAATGGCCGATCGAGATCTACCGTTTCTGGGCTGTTAACATCGCTCTTTGTGAGTTCACGCAACAGCATGCTCGGGTAGACGCTAGATGGAAGCTCAAATGACAACTCAAGGCTGCCCTCACCCTTTTTGGAAAGCCAATACGGCGCAGGGGGTACACCACGCCCACGTCGCATGTTACCATATCTACCCCTTTCACCCAAAAGATTGTGGCCAAGAAACAATTGTTGTGATAGTTGCTGCTGCTGCTGCTGTGGTTGTTGGTGGGAGTTACAAACGTTGCCTTCGGTAGCCAAAAGTACGTCTCTATGAGTTTGTGCAAAGGCCTGCCGCACTCCGAGCGCCCAACGCTGTTGCGGGCCACCAGAGCAGTCCAGCTGCATTCTCCACCGCAGCGTTGGTGACGGATTGATTAATAAATGGCGGTAAGAACCAAATACACTCACGCCTAGTGGATTGCCAGGTACTTCTCCTTGGCACAAGTCTCTCCTCAGTTGACTGGCATCCATTGAAGCCGCTGATGTTGCTCCTACGGCCGCTAAACCCACCTTTTCGATGGGGTCAGTGTCACGACCATCGATGGGCTCGACAATGGTCGTGCTATTGCCCAGCTCCTCCTCCATCAGCGCAAAGGCGGATGAGAAGCGATGGTACGGCGATGACATCCCCGCCGCACGCTGAGTTGCACCCTCGTCAGCAAAGCTACGCCGGGGACGAAAAATGTCCCATTGCTTAGTTTCCGGGTTAAACAAAATGCCCATTCGCTGCAGGGCAACAATGTATAGATCCGTGGTGTGGTTCTCCGGCAGCTGAATTCCCACACCAGGAAGAGGCAACACCACATCTGCAAAAGTGTACTTACCCTTGTCTATGCCACTCCTGGAGGCAAAGACGACGTTTTTGTACTCCTTCGAATGCGGTGAAGCAAGCGGGTTTCGACGCACAAGATCTCCTGGAAGAATGGCAAACGTCCCGTATCGCTGAAGACGTTGGTTAACAATGTCATTCCAGACAAATGCCAGGAACTCATGCACCAGCATCAGCGATGTGGTGGGGCCAACCACACGCAAAAAGGCCTCCTCGCAGGGGTCAATCAAAGAGCTCTTTTCCTCGTCATCGCCCAGAAGTGCAGTCGCTTGTAGAGCGTTGTCAAGAATCGATTGCAGCGCAGTCCCGTGCTCTGCGATGGAGCGCCGGGCCGCGTCTAACTTCATGGGATCCGGAAGTCGAACTCCCATCGCCTTTGAGTGGTACATCTTAACGCACTCCGCGCCGGTGCGTCGCTTCTCGGCTGCGAGATCAGAATCCATGTAAAACTGCTGCACGATAACACTTGCGGCAGCACGAAACTCCCCCTTAAGAAGATGCAGCCCCGGGTGCATGTTTTGCTTCGTGTACGAGGCAAAACGCTGCGGGCCAAAGTAGTTAATAAAACCCTTTTCCTCCAGTGATCGCATGGCAGGCTGCACAAGCGGGATGTGATTCTGTGGAATACGTCGCAACTTGACACGGTAGGCGTAGCCGTCATTGTCGCCGACACGAAAGTCGTAGGAAGCGCTTTCCACCTCCATGTCCAGGCAAAGAAGCTCAAACAACTTCTCTGGACTCAGTGTTGCAACAATTTCTTCAAGCGTCAGGGAAGCCGTTCGTTTTGTTTTGACTTTCTTTTTTCGCGCCTTTTTGCCTCGGGTGGCGATGTCCTCTGTGCATTCCACGGAATCGCTGCCTGCCATCCCCATAGCCTCACTTTCCTCGTGTGAGGTTTGTTTATTGTTGCGTGACTGACTAATTGCGAGAAGTCGCTCCTTCAGAGGGGAAGACCAGCCCTTCGGGTTCGCAACGTCGACAGGGCCCACGCGGTCGTGAAAGACCAACCGAATGTCGGACAAACGGTAGTAGTGGGTCCCCCAAAACTCACGCTCGTCCTTGTCCACAACCATGCCTTGCAGCGGGCGGAGGGTTTGGTAGCGGTGAAAGCGACCATTCGCAGTACGCTGAACCGTGTAACTGGACGGCACACGATGCCCTAGCAGCTGACGATCCAGCGAGTGCGCAGGGTTACCATGATGAGTGGGTGAAAAGGAAAGATTCGGCGGGAGCAGCAGGGATGCGTCCCCACCCTGCTTCCCAGTACCTGCAGCAGTTGCAGGAAAGGAGTTGGAGTTCTTGCCGTACATTGGGCTTGCCCCGTCGCAGTCTGTAAAATGCGCCCCTGTTTCAAGGGCGCGTGCAAGCGCCTCAACGTGGGCAATGCAACTACCGCGAATACGAATACGCTGAAAGCTGTGCGCCGCCGCGTCAATGACACCCGCGTGCGAGACGACGACGTTTGGCGCATACAATACGGGCCGCACCCCACCACTACCCGCGTCAGTCTGCAGCTCAGTACCCTCCTCATCGCTACTTATTTGAGCAATCGCAATCCGCTGCATCTCCATCGCCTGCCGCTGAAGCTCTGTGAGGCTTTCCACGACGTCCTTCACCACTAGGCGCTGTGGCAAGCCCTTTTTCTCCAGCGTGCATTCCACCACTACAAAGTCTGTCGGAACAATGACACTTTTCAAGTGCGATTTACGCGGGTTAAACCCCCTCCATATGGAACTGTCACCCCCCATGAGTCCCTCCACCGCATCTTCCATGCAGCGAATAAACGCCACTGATGACAGTTGTTGCTCCTGCTCACCTTGTTTTATGATCTTGTGTGGATGAGCAATCTTCTCCAGGGCGTTCTTGGAGCGCTCCTCGCAGGTCATGCTGCTCTGCCTCGTTTCAACGGGCATCCCCATCTGCGGCCAGACGGAGAGATACAGGTAATCAAGGTCGCCGTGCACGCGAAGGTCCTTGACCAAATGACCCCATACGCGCCACACAAGTTGAATGGCCTCCCGCATTGCTGCGAGTGTCGGTGCTTCGTCAGAGGACATCTCCAAAACTGTCCCTGTAACAGTTGACACCTTTGCCTTAATGAGATGCAGCCACGGAATCTGCGTTAACTCCCCCCTACAAAGGCCACACGATTCCTGTTGCTCGCGGCTCATATTAAGAACAATAGAGGTGGTTGTGGGCAATGGATCATGTTGACGCTTCATCGCGCGACCAATAAAACGCCGCAGTGCAAGTATGCCGTCCATTCCAAGTGTTTGCTGCAGTTTGTAAAGTTCGGGGGAAAAATAAACTTCTATGTTTACCTTCGGAAGGCGGTTTATTGTCGGCGGCAAGGCACCATCGTTCCCTAACTCTGGTTCCACATGCTTCGCAATGTGGTACGGGAAATCCGTGCCAAGTTCCTCTTGCTCTATCAAGTTGCCAGCAACCCAGAGTGAAATTGAGATATGGTGCTCTTCTGCTGGAAAAAATATAAATGGGCTGCGGAAGGCCTCAAGAAGCTGTTTATCTTTTTTACTGCACAAATTTATGGAGAGATTGATCGTCTCTAACAGGTGCGAGGAGGAGGAGAGGCTTGTGTAACCCTTTTCCTTTGCCTCCTTCACGTTATCCACCAGACGATCCACAACAGAGCTTTGACGAATGGCCAATAAAGTCCCACTTTCTCGCCTCTCCATAAGCTGCTGCCGTGCGTCGCTCCCAAGCGTGTTTGCAACCCGCCCAAGTTCCTGCAGCACTATAGTGCGGTGGTGCTCGTACGTGTTGAAATCCGCAGTGATTTGACTCCCCACATGACTCGGTAAGGACGGTGGTGTCAGGCATGTCGTGTTCGTCCACGCGGCCCCTCCCCTCTCCGGAGGCGCGGTGGTGGTTGCTGCAGCTGCTGTCGTTCCTCCTTCTAAATCTACATCTCGGCTCTCCTGTGTGAGGGAACCCTCATCGTGCGAAGAAAGCACCGCCTCGAAGTTTTGAATTGCCGCGTTTGTAGTCTCCAGTTTGGGTCTCTCCGCCTCGTTTTCGTCATCGTCGCGCCAAATCTCCTGCACCACGTAGTCCTCCGGGCATGACTTAATGTACGACTGAAAGCCCTTTACAGTTGGCTTCGTGTGGCGCACAAGGTGGCAGCGCCGCTCCGGTGGAAGCCGGTTGCGGCGACGCTGAGCGAGGGTGAGCTCGTGGTAGAGCCCCTGGTTGTGCCGCTCGTGCGCCAGACGCAACGCCACGCGCGACTCCGGGCTGTCGAATTTGCTCCGTGCGTCCTCGATGCTCATGCCAAGAATGAGCCGTCGCCGCCACGAAAGCGTGGACTTCATTTTACACGTACAGACAACCGCCCCCCCTCCCCCCGCCGCCCTTTGCTTCCTTTAGACTAAACAGACACATGTGGTAATAGTTACAAGCAGAAAAGAACAAAAGAGAAGAAATATATTAGCCTCCCGCCGTGCAGCCGCCACTACACGTTGGCACTCCAGGGAGGAGACAAACACCCAAGCAGATAGTTTCTTTTTTGTTTTGTTTTTCCTTTTAGTGTTTGCCTCTCCTCCTCCTCTGTTGCTGCTGCCACTATTGCCACGGCTGGCTGCAGTGTTCTTTTGGGGCAGGATGGAGAACGCAACCCCCCGCCCCTCCGTTTCTTTCCTTCCTGCTGACTGGGGTCAGTTGCACCCACAGTCGCAAGTGGAAAGACACACAGCCACACACACAGTAAAACCCAACAAAGCCAAACCAAAACTATATATTTCACCAAAGGAATGCTTGACAGCAAACACAGGCGGCATGTCGTGCGATTTCCACCACCCTCCCCTCTTTCTTTCTCTTGCTATGACGTTTTGATGACTATCGTGTGTCCTTAAAACCGTATATGTCTGCAAAGTGCACCTCCAGCCTACTGACGGCGTCCTCCAGTCCCATCTCTTTAAAGAAGAAGTCCTTCATCTTGCCATCCGGGCCAACAAGGTAAATGGCGCAGCTGTGATCAAACTGGTAGGTGTCATCCAGGTAAACCTCGGGAATCCCCTTTGCCTCACGTGCCTCCCGTTCCTCATCCGTTTCCTCGACGGAAGAGTAGTAAACACGCCACGCGCTGGCCGCCTGCCGTACCTCCTGCGCGTTGCCACACAAGGCACGAAGACGGGGATCATACTTGGCTATATACTTCTCTAGAACCTCTGGGGTGTCACGAAAGGAGTCTATGCTTAAAAACACTGCCTGCAGCTTCTTCACTTCAGACGCAGTACTGTCCATCAGCCTGGCATCGCAGGCCCTCATAACATCGGTAATAAACTGCAGCGTTGTCGGGCACACCTCCGCACACTTGGAGAAGCCAAAGTACAACAGCGTCCAGTGATTCTGAAACAATTCCTGGTCGGTGATGTAGGCGCCTGTGCGGCTGTCCCGCAGTCGGAATGGCCCCCCCAGCTGCTGCTTGGGCGTCATCATGACAGACTGCATCGATTGAAACTCCGGTGCCAGTTCAGGCGGCGACTCCTTCTGCCTGTCGTACCAGTTTATCAGCGCCACGGAAAGCGGGAAGACGGAGCACCCAAGGCAAAGCCCCCACAGCTCCGCACGACTACGGGGGCCGTGCTGAAACACGGAGAAGAACCCCCTGCGCCTCTGTGGTTCCGCAGTGGAGAATGCAAGCCGGGTAAAGTCGCGTGGCTGCAGCAGACGACCCCCACGCCTCACCGCCAGCCGCATTGATGTGCTGTTCCTTCCTGCTGCCACAAAAAAAAAAAACACAACAACACAAAGAACTCTCCTGGTAAACAATGCAATACAAAAAGGAACATGCTCAAGCAACAAACAAAAGCCAACCGAATGGGCCAACACTGCAGCTGCATCACCAGTTGTCCAGCCGGAGGCAGCGGCAAGTCATGCGTCAACAGACCACACACACACACACACACACAGAGGGAGAGGAAGAGAGAGAGAGAGATACAAAAAACAATAAATAACTAAATAAATACAATAACAACCGTATTGCTTGCGTAAAGTAAGCGTAAACAATGGGGCGGCAAACACGTTAAAAAACACGCACATACAAAAGCGTGGACATCAAAAAGAGCGAGCAGCCACCTTCCGGCAGTCTTCACACACACATACACACGCATCCGTCCGTACAAATGCAGGTTGAGAGCGGCCTTCCAAGTAACACCACTGAGGGAGAAAGAAGGGCATATATATATATATATATGTATAAATGTATATACGTATGTGTTTACTCCTCTGCGTTCACTCGTGCAGAGTTATTTCGCTTCAGTGTTGTTCCCTTCCGTCCAACACCACAAACACCAAGAAACAAAAAAACAAACAAACAACAAAGCGAAGAAGCAATACTAACAGCAATCGGACCTTGTACACCGTGCAATATGGTGAGAAAAAAGAAAAAACAACAGCAAAATAATTAAAAAGCAACAACAACAACAACAAAGCGCCGCAGCAGACAGAAATGAAGCAACACAAGGAACAAGGACCTCCCTAGAAGACCACCGCACTACTCTTCCCAGAGAACATCAGTGACTCGCGGCGTATTCGACACCATCCCGACAAAGCGGTATCTGCAGCGTCTTCAGACGGGCCTCCCAGAGCCGCTCGGTTAAGGCGCAAAAAGTCACGGCATCGAAGTCACTGGGGAATGTTCGAATTGCGTCATACTCGTGCTGCAATAACACCTTTTCAAGGTTTCTCTCCTTGGCGGGGAGGCTCGAGGGTGGGATCACCGTCAGTGAGTGGAGGTAAACAAACTGATAGATCTGATTGGGAGAGACTGTAAAGACTTGTAAGGCGTTTGGCCTCACGACAGGGTTCGGTATGCCCACCACGTACGGTGGACCATCCTCCACCGTAAGCGCAATGGAGGGAAGCAGGGATACGATATCCCTGAACGACAACACCTCCCTCACAGCCGCTGCTTCACATCCCCAGTCCTCGTCATTGTCCTCAGTGGCTTCCATTATCTGCTGCGCCTCGCCCGTTTTTAGGAGGGAGGACACAAAACGACTGTTTCCTGCACCGCCTCTAAAGTACAGGCCATGTGCCGTCGCCCAAAGCATGCCCCAGTATGGCTGACCATACGAAAGCAGAGCACACGCCACACTCACCACAACGTAGCTGGTTCTGACCTCCAGCTGCCGCGCGAAACACCGCGCAAAGGCAGTCTGAGACTGTTTAATTTGACGCTGCTCGGGCCCACTTCCGATGGCCCGCCGCCAAAAGTTTAAGAGACCCTCCTTTTCCTGCTTCCCTGGAGGAGTGGTGATCAAGATGGCGAAAAGAGTCTGGTATCCAAAAGGGTGTGGCGCCACAGTGTAGGTAAGTGTGGCGGCGTTGCCTGACGACACCGCCGTGATCGCGGAATTCGCCTCGTCCGGATGCATGCAAAACAAGGAGTGAGGGGGTCGCAGCAAAGCAGTAGCAGGGGCTGCTGTGGGAGACGCATACGACAGAGAGGCAAGAGACAGACAAACCGTGCGGGGGAGAAAGAAATAAAGAAAGAAACACCGACGTCAGGCCGTTACAAGCGGGTCCAAGTGGCACGTGTAGAGAGAGCGAGGCCCAGACACAAAGAGAAACACACACCGGCAACGGCAGTCACCACACCAAAGAAGCGCACAACAAACAAACAACATTGCTGTGGCGCATATATATAAATAACTATGCAATTTCCTCCTCGCCACCCTTGAGGAAGGTGGCCACAGACGTGCATTAAGGCACATGCAGCTTCCACCCAACTCATTTCCTTTTGTTTTTTGTTTTCTTTCCCTTTTCATTTGCTTGTTATTCAAATATCCATTCTCCTTCATGTTTCGCATCTCGTGTCTTTTGCTTTCTCCCGTTCGTTGTTGCTTGCTTTCTAGCCACTCTCCCCTTCCCAACAAGATTCAAGTGCTGAGAGTCAAAGATGCAAAGGGCGGAGCGGCGACGGAGCCTACACATCAGTGGTATTAAAAATGCTCGAGAAGAAAAAAAATATGAACCACCCCTTCTCAGCTTCGACGCAACCCAACAGATTCAAGCGCCTGCTCAAACGTTTTGGAAGTAATGACAGAATTCCCGTCTGCTCCTTTCTCAACAGACATCTCCAAGACAAGTAACAACTGTTTTATCGGCATAGACCCCGGGAAGAGGTGGTCAACGCAGTGGTATAAATCTGCTTGTGTCGCAAATGGAAGCCCAAGATCGTTGGCAATCACCTGAAGCGCTGATGGAGGAACACCTGGAAGCGTCATCTTCACGGAGAAGCATGAAACCATTTCGAGGCTATCCAGAATCTCATACAGGGATGTTGTGCCGATCACGAGCAGCTTTCTGCCCTCCGGTGGTGGCCGCTTGATAAGCACGAGTAACGCCTGCAAAAGTGTGTTGCTGTAGCGACCACCCAGGTGAGAGAACTCAATAATACGCTCAATATCGTCAAGAATGATAATGCTTGCAGGAGACCGATAGGCATCTTCAAAGGCTTTGCGAATGATATTGACCTTTTGCAGCTCACCATAGCTGACCATGCTTTCACTGGAGATCACCTTGACGTAGGGAAATTCGGCCTTTTCTGCGAGGTGCGCCGCCACAGCTGATTTACCGGAATTTGGCAACCCCTCAATAAGCACGCTGAGCAAATTGATGCGTTTGCCCTCACCCTTTAGTAGCTCCACATACCGTTCGCAGCAGCTCTCCACTCCTTCCCATTGTTTACCGTAACAAATAATACCGCCGCCCTTAAGGTTGCTACACTCCTCCTTTGCCTGTCCAAACGCGGGTTGCACCTCCTCAATGGCCTGAAGAAAATCATGCCTTGACACAAACACGTCACTCACCTGCACCGCCTCGGTTGGGTTGTCGAGGTCGATGTGCTTGTTGAATGCGTTGGAAATGGCAGAGCGCACCACACCCTCAATCTCAGCACCAGAGTAGTTTTTGGTTAAACTGGCGAGCTCCGCCAAGGCCACGTCCTTGCTAATGACGCCGTTCTCACGCATTCCGCGGGTGTGGATGCGAAAAATTTCCTCTCGCCCCTCCTCGTTTGGGAGGCTGATCTCTACATGCACCTCAAATCGGCCCGGGCGCAGGATAGCTTCATCAATGAGATCCAATCGATTCGTCATGCCGATGAGAAGGACGTTGTTCAACGAGTTTACCCCGTCAATTTTGGAGAGCAGTTGATTCACCACGTTGTCGTTGACACCTGTGGAGTCCCGCACAGCACCACGCTGCCTACAAATGGCATCAAACTCATCAAAAATGATTAGATGTAGCTTGGAGAGCTCCCCCTTTGTCGCATCCTCCGCCTCGGCATCCAAAAAGAGCTTTCGCACATTTTCCTCCGTCCCGCCAACAAACTTGTTAAACACCTCTGGGCCATTGACAATCTTTGGCGGGTGACAGTTGAGAATTTCCCCAATTTTGCGGGCAATGAGTGTCTTCCCGGTGCCTGGTGGACCATACAGCAGGACCCCCTTGACGTGTTTCACCCCCAATTTCTTCATGTAAGATGCAGGAAAGAGGCGACTCGCAAAGGCACGGCGAAACACCTGAGCAAATTCTTTTCGCAGCCCACCGATACCAAGGCTCTCAAGGTCGAAGTTTTGCATCAACTGTGGTTGCTGGGCGTCCAACTGATTGTCTGGCACGTTCGTGAGAGTGATTTCGCTCTTCTCCGTGACACTAATAATGAGATTTGTGGTGGGGTCAAGCACACCAACACTTCCCAGCCCATCACAGTCGAGCTGCGTCACCGTCGCCAAGAGTCGGAGACCGGAGTCCAGTACCACGGCCAACATCTGTGACTCACGAAAGCACTGCGCAGAGAAGTGCCTAATAAAGTAGGTAATAAACTCCATGCAGTCCAACGTCCCACCTTTCTTGGAGACCACAATGTGCTCCACCCGCAGAAGCATTTTCGCAATGGCTGGAATGTGCTGCGGGGGCGTCCGAAGAATCACTGTGCTGCCTGTCGTGACTGAGAGGCCGAGCAGGCGGCGCTGAATGCTGTTCATCCCGATATGACCGACTCTGATCCCAACGTGTGCGGACACCGTGAAGAGGAAGTCGTTGATCATGACAATCCCGGAGTTGCCAACGCAACTGTCGGCGTCGTGTGGGTTCAGGTAGAGCAAGTTGGTGCGGGCGTCCTCGTCTTTGAGGACGGAGCACACGATGAGAGGCACAGACATAAGGGACACGGGTTGTAGCAGCTGAGCTTCAAATAGACTCTCTCTCTTTTTTTTTTTCTTTCTTCTCTCTCTCTCTCTCTCTCTCCTCTTAAGGACCCTCGCCGCAATGCATCCAGACAGGGAAAGGAAATGAAGGATAATACAAAAGGCAGAAAACAAGGTGTAACTCAGAGAGGCCGCGGCAACGCAACACTGCCCCTTACACATCCAATCGTCTCACGCTGCGGGTGAAAAACCAATCCACCACGGAGACCCCTCCGCATTTGCCACCACAAGGAACCAAACACTTTCTGGAGAAATAAGAAAAACAACAACAACAACAACGCGCTAAACGCTACAAGATGCCACAACCTCATACTCCCTTCAAGCAATAGAGGGAAAAGGAGGGTGCATCATCCATTCTCTCGCGTGTTGCTTCTCCAAACCCGATTCAAATATACGCTGGTGGATTCACCAACTTCGCCTGTTCCCATAAACTCAGGACTTCATTCAGTGAACGGCGAGAGGCGCCACTTTTACTCGGGGTGAACAGTGAACGGTAACGCGAGTAGGAATGCGAGGTTGGGCAGAGGCGTTGAAAGTGCATGCGTCGCACAAACTCCTCCTCCGCGGTCAGACAAGCCTCGAGCTCAGTCGCATCTGTCAGAGTATCAAGAAATGGATGCCCGTAAGAAAAAGTCAGCCTATCCTCTTCCTGCATTTGAGAGACAGTTACAGCAGCGGTTCCCCGCTTCTTAGATCCACGCGCGGCGGTGAGGCCAACAAGTGTCAGCATCTCCGCAACAAAGTTACCCTTGACGCATTGGTCTAGTAAGGAGTAATGCGTACTTAGAGAGGGCATAATGTTGACTTCCATTAAAACAGGCATCGGTACGGGGTTCTCCGACGAATGCGGGCGGCGCAGCAACACATCTACCCCGTACACCTCAAAGCAGCCGCTTCCCACTGTGTCACTGATGGCTTTTTGCTCCAGTATGACGTGCGGCTCCACCGCAAGTAGCGTCTTCACTAGAAGGTCATGTATATGCGCCATCGTCGCATTCCAGTCCAAGCCATGCATGTGAAAATGCTTCTGTAGCGCCGCAAGCGTCCACTTGGAGGCACTTATCCCACCCTCCTTGACAGCAAGCTCATCCGGCGGCACAAAGTCTTCAGATTTTTTGTTGATAGTAAAGTTTGTGAGATGTGCCGTGAGGGAGAGGTTAAATGCGTGATCGGCGTCCGCGGACTCCGCCGTGGGATATGGTGTCGTGGCAAACCGCACGAGCCCCTCGCCATACAAATATGCCCGGAGCGGCGCGTACGAGGTCACCACAACGTAGAGTCGAAGGTCAAACTTATACCCTTCTACAAGCAGCGCATCGGCGACGTAGCGCTGCACGAGCAACCGCTGAGGACGCATGTCCCTCTCGCCACACTCGTTTGGCTGACGCAGTGCAGATGCCAACTGCACACCTTTGTCGGCCTGCACAAGATAAATGCCTCGTCCACATGCGCTGGTTGTGGGCTTAACAATAAATAGCTGACCACGCTCCTTGCTGGAGCGCAACACCTGAGCTAGGGCCTCTTGCTCCTCCGGAACCACCCAGCCTTCTGGAAAGAAGTCTCCAAAGGAACCCTCACCCTTTTCCTCACGCCAGCGTTCCCGTGCAGCCACGAGGTGTTTGTGCAGCTCATCCTTCTTGCCGATGCGCCACGTTCCGGGGAAGTGGTTGACCCGCTGAAATGACTGCAGCCGTGCAAAATCGCTCCGCACTGAGCGCTTGCACCACTTCAAGGACCACGACTTCGATAGGAGACCTACCTCCGTAAACCCGGCCCGCTCTAACGCGCACATAACACTTGAAAAGCGCACTGCATTGTCGGAGATCGTAAAGCCCAATGCAGCATACGCCCTGTCGCGTTGCACCTCCGCTCGCGTCCCCGTGTGCGGCGGCGGCAGCCAGGCCAAAGGTGGTGGCTCAACGTACGCAGTGGTGTCGCCGCAGTGGGGGTCCCCGTCCCACGGGTGGTCAAGCGGCAAAAACACAATGGTTGGTTGCCGCCCCCGAAATGGACTCACGCTGAGCGTGACGCACACGTCGGCCGCCGCGCTTCGCACGGCGGTGCAAATTTTGGTCGTCGTTCGCCACACACTTCCATTACTCTCATCGTAGTGCCGCAGAGGAGGGGCGACGAAACAAATAGCGCCGTGCGCAAGGCGTCTGTTTCGTTGCCGCTGAGCTCCCGTCAGCCATTCCTGCGCACCCTCGTGCTCCTCCTCGTCACCTTTCCCCATGTAGCCTACTCCGTGCTGTAGTGACCCCCCACGTCGTCACAACGCAGTTGCCGTGCAGCAGAGTTAACCCACACAATATATAGAGAAGGAGAACAACCTTAAATGACGGTCATATATTATATATAAATTGACCCACTAAACGACAACAATACAAAGCAAAAATGATAATACGCAAGGGGCTGGCCTCAGCCCCCACCAGTAAACAACAGCACCAATCAAGAAAAATGGTAACTGAAAGAAGACAACATTACACGAGAGATACGGGGAGACAAAAAAAAAAAAAAACAAAAAAAAGAAAAGTGGGGAAAAAAAAGTCCAACAGTCACCCAATTACCCTTTTCTTCAAATTCTTACTGCTACTTATTTGCATACGTATCTATATGTGTATTATATATGCTTTAGGGCGCAGAGCACTTACCATGACCTTGTTGCTGAAAAGGGGCCACCTCACTCAAGATACCCCTCCCCCTCCTCCTCGTGATTACCCCGGTGATCGTAGTCATCCCTGATTTGCAGGACGTCCTCCAGGACTTCTTTCCACTCTTCACTGTCCATGTCGTACGTCTCCTCGTAAAGGTGTCGGCGGCGGTATAGCACTTTTTCTGCCTCCGTTAGAATCTCCTGAATCATGGGCGCAGATCCAAAGGTTGATACAGCATGGAAACCAACATCGATGCCATCTAGCACCCCAGACGCCAAAACGTCGCGCGGAAGCACAAACTCCTGCGGGAATGTGGACGAAATGGGGTAGCTGTTCCCTGTTACAAGGGGAAGGTAATTTACCGTGCGCAGCGGCATAGCGTAGCGCAGCAAAGCCTCTTGCCGTGGATATGTCAGGTCATGCAGCTTGCCTGCCCCGCGCAACGTCAAGGCGTGACCCAACACACGTCCAGCGTCGGTTTGAGCATCAAGAGTTATGGGATGAGTTAGCGGCGCAAATAATCCACCGTTGGTGACCTCAGACGTTGATAGCAGCGGATAACGCTGCAGCAGATCCCAAAGATCGTTTCGAGGATAGTTGGCATCGTACACGCGCAGCGGCACTGCTGCAAGGGCGGCAGCCACACGCATTGTTCTCGTAGGCCGCACAGCCTCTTGCCAGTCATGCAGGTAAAACGCTGGCCCACTCGCCGCTGTCGCGTTTACGCTTCCATCGTCGCGAACGCCGTAGAGAGCGGTATCAGCGGCCATTGCAACCAACTGAGCCGTGGCAGTGTCGTCCCGCAGCCACGAAGGTATATTATTAACACCTGCTGCTGTGTGTTCTGCAAACGCGCTTTCCCATTGGCCCAGCTCCAGCGGCAAGTACACTGCACAGTCCTGCTGTGTCAGGTGCGAGGTGGCAAGAAGCCGATTCAGGCACATTTCATCCTTTCGCCTGTCTGCAAAGCCCACTTCGCTCTCCGACGCCGTTACCTCCTCTGGCAGGGGCTGAAAACAGGTGAAAAAGACAGCGGGAATTTTTTTCCCTGCGTCTTCCCAAAACTCCTCCATGACATTGCACGCCGCTCCACCAAAGGCGGAGTCGCCATCCAGGAAGCACTGCACGCCCTGCAAGGAATCTGCCTCTTCCAGTTGCTGCCACATACTTCCCATCACTTCCGCAATGTCGTGGCTACGTGAGGAACGCAGCTGTGACATTCCAAAACCAAAACTATGCAGCAGTGGGACATCGCCCGCGTTCCCACCCAAACTGTGCAGCGGATGCAGGACATGCACGCAGTCCTCACACACGCCACTGCGAATGTACTGCCACCAAGGCACGACTTCGTCATGCTCGTTAAAAAGCTCCCGCTTGATGCACTTGATGGAGGTACACATGCCATGAGCAGCACCCGCACCCTGTGAAAAAGAAGAACAATGATGGTGGTGGTGTTCGTCAGATGCTTGCAGTTCCTCCACCCACCCCCTCTCCTGTCCCCCCCCACTATTGTTGTTATTACCATCGCCCACGTTGTTATCATCCGCATCAAGCGAAGCGGATGAGGCAGAGGAGAAGGCGTCCCCCTCCGTTGTATGGTTCATTCCCCCAAACGAGACATCATGACCCACCTCGTGTTCCTCATTCGCACTCGTGTCCATGCGGGTGCTGCGGCGGAAAAATTTAATTTGCGTCGCATGCGGCGCGTCCAATAAAATCATGCGTGGCACTCGCACTGGCGCCCCGGTGCGCTGCTGTGTTGCTGCGCCACCCCGCACTGTTTCCACCCGCCGCTCGGTGTACAGCGTGCGCCGCGAGGTGTCGAACTGCGTGGTGCCGTTCGCCCACTGCGCCGCCACAAGCGAGGCATAATTCCCTAGTGCCACCGTGAGCAACTCCCGTTCCGCCGCCATGCTGCAAGACCAACAAAAAAACGTAAATATTACGCACTACAGCTGCCCTGCCACACCTTCGTAAAGAGTGGAGGAAAAGAAAGGACACACAAATAAAAAAACAATAACAACACACTCAACTCAAAGGCAGTGGGCTGGGAGGCACACGTCCCCACAAACAATAGGGGAACGACAGGGGGAAATGATGAGAGAACACGCGCAAAAGGAGATACAGGCATTACGCGCGTGTCGCACAGTGACGCGTGCGGAAGGAATATGCCAATAAAACACAACACCAATATTGTGGGGGGACACAGGCACAGACGCATAGGCCTCGCTCCTTCCACTCCGTCAACACCAGCATCACCCCCCCTCCCACTGACCAACCCCCGTGAGCAACACACGGCAAGGCAAAGGTGTAAAAATAAGTAAACTAAAAAATGCTAGGAAGGCCCACAGGAGAGCAACAGCAGAGCAAAAGAAAAACAAAAAATGGGGGAAGAAATACCTCCATGCAATAACAGCAACTATACTAACAACGCAAAAAAAAAAAGCGGGGAAAAACAACAACAAAGAGTAGATACATAAAATGCAAGCCAGACGCATTAAAAGGATCATGTACACAACACCCCCCCCCACACACACAAATAAAAAAAAAGACAAACGAACAATACGGAAAAAAAAAAAGAGTAAATAATGTGAGGAATCGCAGGATGTGGAGACATGAATGTATGCATGTGGACATCTTTCTAAGTGTGTTGTCCCCACTCGTTTTGTAGCGGAGATCCAAACTTTGTTTTTTTTTTCGTTTTAATTATTTCATTAACTCTCACGCAGCTGCGGCGCCTCTTCCCATTTCTCTGCACCACTCCTGCGTCCAACCCGGAGCGCATCACCCGGGAGTACTGAACTAAACTGCAAAACACACATACACACACGCAAAAACACCACCTTGGCCACATGGGACAAAGCATTTTCCAAGAATTCCACTCACCACATCCCCCATTTTCATTTACAGTTTTTTTTTTTTTTCATCCTTCCATCTTCGTGTTTTTCATTTACATCGTCAACATACCAAAGCGCTCGTGTGCACACCGACACATACGTGGGCAAGCGTACACAAACTTACGAAGTGGTGGATGAGCTCGTGAAACGTAGGCCGTTTTCGTTTTTCTTCTCTTAACATTTAAGCACAAAAAAAAAAAAAAAAAAAAAACCCGGAGAATTTTAATCCATCGTGCCTCGTTAAGACGCTCCCACAATAACAAAGTCTCCACCAAAGGAAGTAAACGCACATGTTAACCATATATGTATATGTGTATACATATAAAGAAAGAGCGAAATAGATGAAGATAGTGATGGAAGGGTGAAGGGTGAAGGGCGAAGGGTGAAGGGAGGGGGTGGGGGGATAAGCCATAGCGACACGTCGTGCCCTGCTTAGTCTTCCCCACTTGAGGTGGGTGTGGTGGAGGCAAAAAAATCCTGCTCCTCCGCAAGGTAGTTTTGATTTACTCCCCCCCGGTTCCAAAACAACTTCCATTCTTCTCTTTGGCACAAATGCATTTGACGCCTTTCTTGACTACCTGCAGCTTTTTCCTTGACGGTGCAGGTGGTAGTCACGCTGCTGTCAGCACCGTCAAGCTCCCCTTCTTCTTCTTCCTCCTCCTCCTCTTCCTCTTCTTCCACGTCCTCACCATCAGAGTCAATTGCGGCGTAATGCAACAACTTCTCTACCATCTCCACCTTTCGTGCCACTTGCTCATTTCGAGAGATTTGCTCTGCTTCCTGCAGAAGATCGTGGTGAATCAATTCCTGCGCTGTGGGTCGTTTATCAGGGTCTATGCAGAGACATGCCTTAATAAAGGCATGCAAGAAGGGGTTTCCATCCTTGATAACGTCCAAGTCCGGGGTGTCTGCAAGCTTGCTGATGTACAAAAAAATCCCCATGCCACGTGTGGACTCAAGATACGAAAAGGGTGCCTGGCCCGTTGCCAACTCCAACGCCACACACCCCAGGGACCAAATATCTGCCTTTTGGTTGTAGCCAAGACCTTTCGTGGCGTCCGCGTTCATCACCTCCGGTGCCATAAACTGCGGGGTACCCACCACCGCAAATAACTTGTCTGAAGGTCGCTTTAGACGCTTTGCCGTGCCAAAATCCCCAATTTTAATTCTCCCATGGTGATCAATAAGCGCATTCGTTGTTTTTATGTCCCTGTGAACATAATTTTTGGAATGCAAATACGCGAGGCCACGGCATAGGTCTTGTAGGTACCGCACAATCTCTTCCAGCGGCATAGGAGACCTTTGCTGTCGAATTTTATCGCGAAGTGTGCCTCCCGACGCCAATTCCATATAAAGGCAGAGCTGCGTGTCACTCTCCTTCTGACAGTAAAAGTAATGGATGAAGTTCTCGTGACTTAGCGAGGTCATCGCCAGCAGCTCTTGAACGACGTCATCAGCCAATGGGCCGTCAAGGTGTACACGTTTCATCGCCAGTTTTCCACCTGTGAGAAGATCCTCGACCTCAAAGACCTCGCCAAAGGCTCCCTTACCCAATAGTTTACCCACCTTGTGTCGATCAGGTTGAAACTCCGTAAACGCTGTGCGGAGGAGGGCGAGTTGCTCCTCATCCTCACGCACACCCATCACCACACGTTCTGCTTCGTGCATGGCAATGTGTAGCAGAGCCCCAGAGGCGGGCTTGGGGAGTTCAATAACGTGACAGTAGCCCTTCAGCTTTTTCACACGCCAGTCATTAAAGTCGTCCGCGTAAATCACAATCACAAGCTCTGGATGTTGGCGCAGAGTATCAAATGGAGATGTGCCATCTCGTAATGCGGCGTATTCCTCCTCCGTAGCCTCAAGGTATAATGGATCAATCACAAGAACGTCTGTGCCACCAGTCTCCACATTCATCATGGCCTCATGAAGTGATGTAACCTGCACAACAGCATGACGACGTGCCCACAGTAATCGACAAAAGATATAACGCTGCTTCGGATTTCTATCTGCAACCACCACAGAAAGTGGACGACCAGCAATGATAGAATGAGTCTTATCCTCTTTATCCTCGTCCTCCTCCCAGGGAGCGGGTAGAAGGGGTAGTTCAATACTCGTCGTATTCACCACAGACGTATCTCGTGAGGTCTGAAAAGAGAGTGTACCACACATATTAACAACAATCCGTTCACATGCTTTAATTGTGGTTGCTCTTCTTAGCGTGGCATCTCTTCTCAATACCCTCTTCTTCTCTTCCTCATCTGGACTCAGTTTCGGCGGTGTCGTAAGCCCTAGTTTCGCATCTTCCTCCCCACATGTCTCCAGCTCCGCGGTGTCTGTCACAACAATGCGAAGGCGTCGCAGGGAGGAAGGAGCCGATACCTGAATCACCTGCGGTTGCTGGGAGCTGCCGCAGCGACGCACCCCGTCCTTGGAGAAGGGCGTGCTGACTGACTGTGAATTCGATGGAGTGTTGTGCGACAAGCTTACAGGCGGAGAGAGTGAGAGCAACGCCAAATGGGAACTTGTACTGCTCTGTCGTGAAGCCACAACCGGACTCGTAATTTCACAGCATGACGTCATTGGCAACACGGGATTCACCACAGACACAACGACGGAGACGGCAATATCCATGCCAGCCTGGTTGGCGTCAACCACCACGCGCCGCAGAACATCCAGCATATGCTCCACATCAAAAAAGACCTCCTGGCTTGGGACGTCATCCTCAAAGGAAAGGGTAAGACGATTTTCAGCACCACCAACCAACTGTACCATCTCTCGTGCAAACTGTCGCAGCGTGTGCCGAATGCGAACCGGCTTCCATATCTCCTTCAGGGATTCCAAGTTGAGATGTGAGACACGTATGTAGCGTTCCATGAGCGCATTGCAGGTTTCCACGTGTGCCAGCAGCTTTTTACCGTCCTCCGGGGACAAATTCCAGTTCTTCTCTTCAATGCCTTTCACACGTTTTTGAAACGCATTTAATTGAGGTTGCAACACATCCCGCATCCAACGTACCCCATCCTCAACGTGGTTCGCCATCACAGGATTCTCTGCCTCACGACCCACAAGCAGCATAACATCACTAGCATCCCCCAAGCAGGATGGGACAACACTCAAGATGAGGTTTACGTGGTACAGGTCTGACGTCTGACGGAAGCGATAGACACACGGGGAGGATAAGCCGGTGGCAACATAGTCTTCCCAGGAGCCAATAAACCGTTGTGCCTGAAGTAACTGTTCCCGCATTCCGCGTCGTGTCGTCTCCGTGGCAAGCAGCCCATAAATACGTTGCCCAAGGGTATCTTGATGGGTAAATCCAGTGAGCCGCCCGGCTACAGCGCTCCATCGAATGATGACACCATCGGAGACAACAGCAATGATAATGGTGTTACTCATCTCCAACACAGGGAGAGGAAACCGATACAGATTCTTCTTCCCTGAGTACACAATTTCCCCGGAGGAAGCCATTTTCAAATTCTTTACCCTAATCGTACTCCTTCTTCCTGCGTTGGCCACTGTTGAGCCACGAGTGCTGGATGGTGCGGTAGAACTTGCCACTCCCTTCGTATCCCAAACATGACTTTTCACCGCCACCAGGCTTTTCCGTTGTTCTATCCGCTCGACAAGACGACGCACATCCTCTGTCGCATATTGTGCCAGCCAGGAGATGCGGGGAGTCATAAGCACTCTGCACCGCATCTCTTCCAGCGATTGCTTTGGGACAAGGTTCTCGAAGTACACCGTGTGCATCTGCGCCACTAACACCGTAGACGCGGCTACTGCATCTGTAAGGCTGTTTGAGTGAAAAAGGAGTTCAAAGACTCCAACTGCATCTCCTGTAGTAATCTCCAAAAAGGTGGCGCAGGAGGTAGTCCTGTTTTCGCACCCTGCCTGATCCAAGCTTCGCATCAGTCCTGTTTCATCCTCCACATTTCTCTTCACTGTGCCGCGGAGCACAAATGAAACCCACTCCACTGGTCGGTCTTTTTGCAGAAGCATTAACCCCGCCTTATAACTCCGTACACGCAGAGTGTCTGCGAAGCGTTTCCGATTCCCAAGGGAAAGGTTTGAGAGCAGCGGCAAAGTCTCCATAATCTCTAGAAACATGGAACGACGTGCCACCTTCTCCTCATTTAACAGAAAACAAAGGGTTCCAATTCGAATCGAGAATACAACGGTGCCCGACAACGCGCGTACCGTGTGATGGACTTTCTTATTGTCCTCCTGTGATATGTGAAGTTCACCAAGGAACTCCCCTTTTGAGAGGTTAAGAGGCACACCAGCCTCCTGCTCCACCAACAACGCCCCAGAGCAGACAAAGAGAATCTCGTTTCGAAAAGTGTGTGACTGCCCATCACTCAAAGCAAGGCGTTCCATATGACGCACAATACATTCCACCCGTGTTTCATCAAACCCAGAAAATGATTCATGCCTTAGAATGGCCTCCCGCACCATATCCAGTTCCTCATCAAGTGAAGACAATCGCTGCAACTGCGGTAACGCAACTTCTTCATCTCTCAATCGTGGTGTAGACGCAGCATCAACAGTGAATCTGTAAGCTAGAAGAGCGTCCGACAACGGTGTATCCATACACCTTTGCTTCCCTGCGTCATCCGTATCATGACTGTAAAGGTTGAGAGGGGCCAATGGTATCTCGCTGTGTGCGCCTAAAGGCACACCTCCAGTCAACAGAGAATCTGCAAAGGCAGGACAACCTACATTTGGTTTCCCATCCATGCCACCTGGTCTCATTGAGTCCCGTGCAAGGACACTGGCAGTCAGTGCATCATGCACCAGGTCCTGTAGATGCGTGCGCGTGTACGGAAAGTCTGCAATATAATTGGGAGCATTAACACTGGACGAACCGACAGAAAATCGCCAATTTGTATCTCCAATTGAACAGAGTCTACTTTCTCTGTTGCAGTTGACTCCCATTGAAATGTCTGACTTCATCCATGATTGTGGTGAAGGTGTTACGGAGGCTTTTTTCTCAAGCAGACTTTCCATAAAGACGGATGCCGCCACATGTTCAGTGGGCGGAAGGCGTTGCACAATTCTCATTAGGTGTCTTGTAGAAGCAACCACCTCAGGATCCACATGGATTTGGTGCGGTTCTGTCTTTAGTAAAGAATCCGCGGCGGTGGTGAAGTGGGTCATTTTCCTGACTGGGGTTTCGGGGGCCGCATAGTCACAGTGGAGGGTGCGTTCACCGCATTGTGGGGTATGACCAACGGTGCTGCCGAAGTCACCAGTACCAGCGTCTGTGAGAACTAGTTCTTTTACCGGAGAAAACTCTGCCAGCGCGGGAAATTGAGAAATCACACGCTCGCTGCCCGCTTCCGTTGCATCACCTCTGCTGCACAGTTCCTGCAAAGAGAAGGGTTTTAATGACAGGGCCCCCTCATCGTGCTTGACCTCAGCCGCCGCCTCAACGCCCTTTCTCCCCATCGTCTTTGCCTTATTCGCGAGCCACTGCAGCATAAAGTTAAGGTGGTTTGTCGGCTTCTGCTGCACGAGCTCATGATTGAGGTGCCGTAAGAGGTCTGGAATGCCATGCTGCTGCAGGTACACATCTTCAGGCGGCGCTTCGAGCTGTGGGTGTGGTGGAGTTGCCGTCATGCGTGGGTGAAAACTGGGATGTGGGGCAATGAGACCCGGAGTTACCTTCTCAGTCTCAGTCTCCTCCCGCTTCTCTCAAAAAAAAATAAAAAAAAATGCCAACGAACAAAAACTGAAAAGAAAAACAAAAACAACTAGGCATGTCATGCATATGTGGTGCCAGAAATGAGGAAGGTGGGCCGCCTGGAAGATTCCACAGCAGCCTCCACAATCCCCCGGTTTGACAGCAAAAACAGGGCGACGTGAAATTAAGCGAATGGTCCCAAACATATTGACAATCGCTAAACAAATAGGCACGAATGTATGCGCCCCATTGGCTGCCTCTGCAAGAGCAATAAATAACAAATACATTCTAAGCGTCTTTTCGGAGGCTTCTCTCCACACATACAAAAAACAAAAAGAAAAAAAAACAAAAAAAAGCCAAAAAAAAAAAAAAAAAAAAACAAGAAACACCAACACCAGCGGGACAAGCGCACAGATAAAAGTTCACATGCACAAGTGTACATGCGTACCTTCCTCCCTGTGTGTGTGTGTGCGCGTGGAGTGGGGCGAGAGGGGTGGACGAGTGGGAACTTGCAGGGTTCATTAACGATGAAACAAATACACAAAAAATCGTTTTTTTTTCTCTTCCTTCTTTCCTTTTCCCATTTTTTTTTTCTTTCTTTCTTACCCGTTTCCCAATTCTGCTTGCTTCTTTATATTGTTGTCTGCTCAGGCACAAAACAACCACCAATCATTGCAGGCAATGCAAGCCGAGGCACACATGCCTACATACACATACGCTATACATCAAGTAAACGGAGTAAGTAAATATGCATGCATTGTATGCATATAAGCAACTGACGGGTCTCCCCCTCAGTAATAAAACACCAACGGAGAAAAACGTCTTGAGGTTACTGCCAGTATCGGCAATAACATAACTCTGGCAGTCATAGCTGCGATGTGCCAAAAAAGCAAAATACAATAGAGAAATCAAGTAATCAACTACATATAATAGCAGAAATAGCTAAAAATAAAATAAAAAAAAAGTGAGCAAACAAACAAATCAGAAAGAAGAACGTGCAGGAAGGGAGAACAATGACGGAAGGTAAATACAAGTGTGTACTCAGTCATGCAAGGTAATATGCGCTGGCGCTGCATACGCATGCTCACATAAGCCAGTAGAAACAAGGGTGTGTAAAGCTGTTGGCCTCCCGCTCACTGACGTGTACACAGGATTGCCACCTTCACAGCTGCCACACAACAGATACGTCACACCCAACGGAGCGTATGCCAGGGAGACAAAGGCCACCTCTGCCCGTTTCCTCTCCATGCTATTACCCTCCTTCAGAGACAAGTTAACCAAAAAAAAAAAAAACAAAAAAGACGCACTCCGTTACAATGACAAAAGCAACCAACGCGTGTCTCAGGCGCCGAAGGTGCATGTCATTCTCAGTGTATGTGGTGTATGTTGTATAGAGGAAGAGAGGGGAGGGAAAGAAAGCGCAAATAAAGGAAAACCACAAGACGCCCCGCGAACAGCAGACAGTGCGGCAGCATCAATGCGCTTAGTGCCACGTGTGCGATCGGCGGCAGCGATGCCTGCCGCGGCCACAGAGGTGGGGGATCGTAACGGCGCAGTCATCAGCGCCGATGGTGCTGGGCGTTGAGAGTGCCAGTGGTGTGCACAAAAAAAAACACAACAAAAAAAAAAAAAAACAAACAAACAACAAACAAAAAACAAAAAACCGACAAACAAACCAGAAGAAGAGAACCAAATAAGGGAGTACAAACAAACAAACAAACCGGCAACTGCATCAAAGACCCCCCAGTCAACGAACCAAAAATAAAAGAAAAAAAAACACACAAAATGAGTGTAACGCCCTCGCGAAGAAAAACAACAAAATACACAAAAATAAATAGAGGAAGCAAGCGTTTTTTTTTTCCTGTTTATTTTTTCTTTTCCTTTTTTCCCTCTTGGAACAAGTTGCCCTTTCCCCCCCCACAGACAGGCGTTCCTCCGCCGTCCAAGACGGAAAAAAAAATCACACACACACGCACACGCACGCACACAGGCATGCAACATGAGCAGGGCGTCACAGCGACCTACGTTCCCCTTCCCGATCGGAAACAAACGATAAAACAAAACAACAAGAACAAAAAAAATTAAATACAATTTCCTTTACAAATAAAAGAAAATAAAAATAAAAAAAAGAATGCCCTCGCAGTTAAACATTCACTTGGGACTTGCCCTCAAACATATCGTCCCAATCACGTTTACACAATTCACCGCAGGGCCGCCACCTGACACATTGTTTGTCTCCCAACTAAACCAGCTTGCTAGTTCCTTTGCGTGTGTATATGTCGTGCTCATCTTCGCCCCATTTTACCGGGCCTCTCCTGATAAAATACATGAAGGGCTGCAAGAAGAGTAATATCATACATCACGGTTTTTCTCTCATCCTCCCCTTTTCTCTTAAACCACATATATATAATATATATACATGTATATATATATAATATATACATATATACGTAATATATATACATAATATATATGAACATTTTTCATCCTTCATATCTCCTTATTTCCCCTTTTTGTTGATGGAGGCATCAACATTGGCAGTCATGCACTGAAAGGAGGTCGGTGAGGTGGGTTAGGTGGTGGTAAAAGTGTTAATAATAATAAAAAA